GGGGGGGGGGGGCAGGGAGGGAAGTGAGCTGTGGGCTTCTGAAATTCTCAGGGTGGGTTCGTAGTCAGCACTGGCTGTCTTTGCTTCTTGTGCCCTGACTGGTTTTAGTGCTCCAGGAGCAATAAAGGAAGGATTAGGTGTCTTGGGGGTTTTTTTGAGCACTGTCTTCCTGTTCTTCGGGGAAAAAAAACCCAAACCTTTCTGTCAGAGGAAGCAACTGCTTCCCTGTATGTGTGTGTGCATGTGTGTTTATAAGCTGGGTGATTCAGTTCAGGTCTTGTGCCTTCCCTGGGCGCACACACCTCTCCCCGCATTCCCAACTGTCTCTCCGTCACTCTTATTCCCAGTGCATGCTCAAGTGAGCCGTGCTGCAGCGTTGCTGAAAGCGCAGGGCTCCCCGCTGAGAGCGGGAGGCTGGTGCCTGGCAGTGCTGCGTGAGGCCGGTCCTACCCTCATCTGTGGAGGCTGAGATCCCTTTATAGTACATATGCTGTCACTGTGAAAGGGAAGACGGAATATTTGCTGTTCCAGATGGAGGCACCAGCAGGGAAGATGGAGTAGGGAGGATGAGTGTGGCGGGAAGGATAAGCCTCTTCCTGGAGGTAGGAGGGAAACTTGACTCTGATGATCACAGGATGGACTGAGCTCTTAGGCCTCTGTCCCACTTCTGGTGCAGGCTGAGTGCTGCACAGAGGTTGCTGTGGACTGTAGAAGACATGAGCTTTTGTCCTGAGCCACTCGTCAGCTGCTTGGTTGAGTTATGCTGTTTCTTCCCTGCCTTTGTCCTTCGGTGTGCAGTTCAGGGCTTAGCTCAGCAGTGTGAGAAGCCCCAGGGATAGAACATGAGGAGGGGAGGAGTGCTGGGAATGATCTGTAAGGAATTTGGGTGCTGGGAGCATTCTTCTTTCCACCACCTGGCTTTGGGAACCACCTCCCCTCTGGGATCCACTTCCTCTCCTTTTTTTTTTTCCCCCATCAGTTGCTACCTCACTTCCAGTTTGCAGAATGTCCCATATGTTTTTTTGCAGATAAGTTTGCAGTCTCTTAGCCTAGCCAGCAGCTCTTCCTCCATAGTGTTGTCAGAGCCTATTTGCAATGTGTAAGCCTCTCTATAGCTCAGGTGTGGCTTCAAGTCTTACAAAATGCCCAGGGCACCGAGTGGACGGCACTATTGCTGCTTGGGTTTTTTAGAGCTTGCCCTGAGCCATCCTAGTTTGCTATTTATAGTGCAGTTGTTCCATTCATCTGTGGATGAGCTCTGCTTTCAGCCTTGCTTGGGCACTGAGGGCACCGGTGCCAGGAATAGCTCTGGGCAAGGAAGACATGGGAGCGGCTACTTGAGCACAGCTCCCAGTTTGGGCCAGTCCCTGGTGGAAGAGATACCAGGCTGCATCCGTGAGCTCTGCCTCCTGGTGAGCATCAGCCTTCTTTGTGGCACAGCTGCTTTTCACACTGGGGAAGTGAAGGGATTACCTTTGCTTGTCAGGTGCCCCGTGTGCGTGCCTGGCTCCCCCATGCTGACGAGGCCGCCGGAGTAGAGTTCAGCACTGCGAGACGCGGCGTCTGGAAGGGCTGCTCCAGTGCCAGGTACCAGTGGGACTAGTGAGGGACCTGGGTGTGATGTGCTTGCACTGTGGAGGGCAGTTTGCACGGGAAGCCCTGCTCCTATGTCCTGGTATTAGCTGCTCAGTTGCCCCCTGGGCTCAAACTACGACATGTCCTTCAAGCAGTGGCTGTGACCTCTTGGTGGTGTATCCTGAACCACTGCCCACTGGGGTGGGTGGATGCCTTTTCAGCAGGGCATTGCCATTCCTCGCACAGGGCCCTGCTCTCCTTCTCTTGCTGCTTGCTGTCCTCGAGGGAGCTCAAGCTGAGGTCTGAAAGGAGCCTGCAGCGCAGAAAACACCAACACCCTCTTCAGCACGGCTGCCTGGGCAGAGCTGCTCTGGCCTTTTGGCTCGTGATGCTCGCAGCTTGTCTGGAGAGCAGAGCTGAACAAATAATTAATTGCTTGATTTAGTGCCCAAAATGAAAAGCTGGAGGGGAAAAAAAGGCACAAACACAGCCGAGTTTGAGAGACCCTTTATCTCTTCTTTTAAATGTAGCGCCGCTCAATTTCAAACAAAACAATGCAAACTGAGACTTTTTGCTTGGAAAAACAAAGCATTTTGTTCTTGTCCAAAACTTGTCGTGAAGTAGCAAATAGCTCTGAGCTCTCTGGAAACTGCAGTTTTCAATCAATAACTATTCAGCTGAAACCACTTACCCAGCTCTGCTGGTGACAATGCAGGGCAGGCACCTGAGGGCCTGGCTCATGGCCATGCCCCTGGCACCTTCCCAGAGGTGGCAGGGAGGACAGTGTCATGCCTCTTGTGGACTTTTCCAGGCAGAGTGCCGGGCTGGGGTTGTTAGAGTCCATTTTCCTCCTTTTTTTCTGTAATTAACCTAATTAATTTTGCATGAGATGATGCAGACTCCACAAGCATGTGTAGGGATTAGGTCTGGTCAGATGTGCTGGGGTATGGTCTCCTCTGTCCCACAGGGGAGCAGTTCCTGGTGCAAGTTGTTCAAGAGTGTTTCAAGGGAGCAGGGAGATTGGGGGGGGGGGGGCGGGGAATC